GGGCGCGCAGAGTCTGGATCCGGACCCCGGTCATGCCTGTGGGTGGTATTCCTAATAAATCAGTTCATACACAAAAGTCAGGACCAACTATGAGTTTCTCTGGGGACTGGGAACTATGCTTTCAAGGAGACAAAGGAAAACCACTACAGACTTAAACTTTCAGTGGTTTCTCTTAGTCCATCATTTCAGTCCTTAGAGAAGAGGAGAAAGAATATTGCCCACTCAACTTGTTGGTACTTTACTGGAGCTTCTTTACTTGTAACCATAGCAAATATGCTTATTTTGTGGGCTAGGGAAGCAGAGAAGGCGCTGGCCTGGGAGTCTGAGATGGGTCCAGTTCCAGCTTGGCCACTGAGCAGCTGGGTGGCTTTAGACATGTGCCTTCCCTCTTGACTATCAGCCTACCTTCTGTAAATCCCTGCAGCACTCAGGCTGGACACTTCGTCCGTTTCAGCTCTAACACTCTGTGAATTAATGATATCACTTGTGCCTTGGATGCATTCTACTTTTTATTTGGCATTTGTTCATTTGATACATATATACATATATAAAAATCTGTACATGTTAAAAATACAAAATATTTCTTTATAAGTTATGCAATTAAACAGCTACCTTTTTAAAGTTTAAAAACCATTGCAAAAACAAAGAGAGAGAGAGAAGGAAATCTAGTCAGTCCTTTCGAGTCACTCACAATAACCTTGGTATAAAATATCCATACAATACATGTGTACAAAATAGTGTACAGTTCATAAAAGCTGTGCAAAGACAGCAACGTTCGGTAAAGAAAATAATATCAAAGAGGCTTGTGGGTCTCTCTCTGTTCATCATGCCCAGTGCTCCGGAGCTTTGCAGGCCAGCAAAATCTCCCCAGAAATAATACAAGGGCACAAGGTAGAGTGCTTGGTGCATAGACTATGGATGCAGAAATTCTTTTAAAAAAAATAGCTTTAACACACACATACAGAAATAGAGACTGACTTTTCCTCCCATTTAGGGAACTCAATTCTTTGCCCAGAGAGTGTTTAGAATATTACAGAAAAGACTCAGGATTTATGTTATACCATAGGCCAGAAGGTCCAGGTAAGTATTCTTTCTTTTTGGAAATTCTTGAGTTTTCTCGGGGCAGTGTCATGGGAAGACTGGTTACCAGGATCTGGAGTTGGGTAGGAGGCCCTTGCTACCCCAGATAGGTGGGTGGAGGGATCTAGGAAGTCAGGGGTCTTGGAGTTAGAAGCTTGTTGCGGCTCCTACCTGGGTTTCCTCCTCCACACAGGGTCTCCCACCTCATAGGGTTGTCGCTGCTAAGGACCAGCAAGGCCTGGCTCCCAGCTAAACCCAGGCTTCGAGGGAACGCCCCACCGTGTTTAAAATAGCTTGCAGTAAAGATGGAGGGGGCCCCTTGTGTACAAGTTAAGGCTGGGGCTAAGGCCTACATTTAACTTGTGGGGAGAGGGCTGTTGAGGGTGTGCCTGGGAAGGAAATGTTCCTTTGGGCCATGGAAGGGGCTGGAGCGCCCTGGACAAGGCGACGGGTCCACCGCGGGAACTAAGTGAACACCCCACTGCACCCACCTCTCCCATTTCAAAGCACTTAGAAACAGTACCCCGGGCGAGGGGGGCTTCTAAGACACGGTGATCTCCTCCTCCTCCTCGCCCTCCTCATCCTCCTCGGAGTCCGAGAAGTCCGAAGGTTTGCCCGGGCTGCTTGAGTGCGCGGGGGAGGCGGGCAGTGGCCCTGCGAGTCGCGGGTCGCGCAGGTGCCGAGGGTCGAG